TATATTTATCTATTTATTGTAGTTCATTTGTGAATATAGGTATTATTGTGTATCAGACATCACCACAGTGTTTTACAACTTTTTCTTTAAGTAAGCTCTATACCCATCGTGGAGCTAGAACTCCCGATCCTGAGATCAGGAGTTGTATGCTCTACTGAGTGAGGCAGCCAGGCGAACCATGTTTTACAGTTTTTTTATGTCAGATATCATAGTTTACCCCTTTCATACTTAGCTAATCTCCACCTCCATTTAATTCCATAAAAATCAGATGGTTTGTAATTTTGTAAAGAAAATATTTGTTAAGTGTTTGATTAGATATTAAGTACACATGGTATACAATTTCGAAGGTATAGAATGTGCAATGAAAAGTCTCCTTTCCACCCCTGACCCCAGGTTCCCTCTCCAGAGGTAATCACTGTTACTGCTATATAAGCTCATTGTTCTTCTATCTTTGATAACTTATGTCAGATTTCAAAAAGCTGCTTTTGAGCATTTGCACACTAGTGATTTTTTTTTTTTTTTTTTTGAAGATCTTCCAGGGCACCTGGGTGGCTCAGTCGGTTAAGCAGTTTAAGCATCTGCCTTCCCCTCAGGTCATGATCCCGGGGTCGTGGGATCAAGTCCCGCATTGGGCTCCCTGCTCAGCGACTGCTTCTCTCTCTCCTTCTGCCCCTCCCCCTGCTCATGCTCTCTCTCTCACTCGTTCTCTCTCTCTCAAATAAATAAATAAAATCTTTTAAAAAAGACCTACCAATTTTAGTTCATTTTAGGGTTTTTATTAGTTTCAGTCTTTCCTGTCTTTCTACTGACCACTCAGAAATGACAGAGATTCAGGCCACTTTGTAGAGAGAACTTGCCGCTCTAGAAATTAACAAATAGATTACTTTCTCAGTTCCTTGAGATCAGAGACCATGATTTATTCAACTTTGGAGCTCCCCAAACAACCTACCACAATTACTAGTGAGTACTGGGTCCATGCTAATATCCATACATGCAGACTTAGGGATAACTTATATTCACAGTAACCTGCTGCGTCAGAGCCTCTTTCTCTTTTGAGGCAGGAGTAACAGTGTATTTCCTGCCCCAACACTAGATTCTAGGTTGGTGTCTTGCTGGTTTTAGTACACTTCCATGGCCCTCCTCTCTACAGATTAACTGCTATCTCTTGTGGAGTAACTGGCAACAGAGAGCAGTTTTTGTTGTGGGTAAGAGAGGGTGTATTTTTTTTTCTGTTTGAATCCTGTCTTTGATACTGGCTTTGTGACCTGGGCTACTTAGCTAAACCCTCTGAGACATAGCTCTCTCCTCTGTGAAGGATGATTCATAGGGTTATTCTGAAGATGAGACAATATGTGTAAATGGCTAGCACTGTACCTGGCACGTGAAGGGCGTACAGTTAAGTAGTAACCCTGTTAACTGTCAGGGTTTGAGGTCATTTCGTACCTTGGTTGGATAGGTGGATGCATGTCAGCCCAGGATATGTTAGGGCTCAGGAACAAATGACTTAAAAAAAGTTTGATTTATTGCTCATATTACATGTCCTTTTTGACTCTGTCTTTGGCCCTTCCCTCTGGGATGGAGGCTGAGCTGCTTTTGGGGACTGCCGATATGGCAGAGGCCAAGAGGATTGGTGGAACTACATGGTGGCTTTCAAAGCTTCTGCTTGGAAATAAGCTTCTATGTCACTTCCATTCATGTTTCATTGACATGGTTGTCATGATACAGTAAGAAGTATCATCTCTCTAAAGGAGCAAGGCTCCTGGTAGGGAGGGGCAGTAAATATTTGACAGTAGTACAGTCAACCTCACTGTTTTTGGAGAGTCACAGTTATGATCCCAAAAGTTTGTCAAACCCTGAGAGTTGATTCACACCAAGACACTTGTAGCCACTGATTGATAAACAAGAATGCCTATTTTTTTCCCCTTGCAGTGAATAATATATCTACCCTGAGAATTAGGCATAAGAGCTTGTGTGGGGCAAACTTTTCTTGGTGGTAGATTTGCTCAAAAGAATGAATTCTAAACTAATTGGTTATAGGAAGAACACAAAACAAAATTTGGGTGTTACCAAAAGACTATATCCAGAATACACCATGTTTTTAATCCAGTTCTCCTTTTGGAACTGTTATTGTACAAAGTCCAAGAATGAACTAGAATGATGGCAGTGTATCCTAGACAAGGCTGAGATCACTGACAGATTCTTGCCCCTCCTTTTTAGGTTCTTTACTTGTTAACAGCTAATTCTTTTCTTGTCAACCACTAATTGTATCATCTGATGATTTGTTATAATTATTCTCTTTAATGCTGTCAGTTTCTTGAATAATGTGACTTTATTATAATTAAGGTGTCTTCAAATCACAATTCTACCCATTGTGTGTTAATTCTCACTGTGTTGGTTTCATAGTAATTTTGACCATCCTTGGCCCATGATTTTGAGGGTTCCTCTCACTTTGCTGCTTATAGCTGGGCATGTCCTGTCTGCTTGGGTAATGTGATATGATGTAATAATGTCCAAAAAACAATATATGACAAGTAATTTTAAAATTAAAGATATATTTCCAAATCAATAAAAAAGAAATTTTGCTTAGCCATATCATTTATTGAAAAATTGAATAAATTGAGAGTTTGATTTTTAGTACTCATTCATATGTGGAATTTAAGAAACAAAACAGATGAACATAGGGGAAGGGAAGGAAAAACAAAATAAGATGAAAATAGGGAGGCAAAAATAAGAGAGGCATAAGAAACGCTGAATTCTAGGAAACAAACTGAGGATTGCTGGAGGGGAGGTGGGTGGGGGAAAGGGATAATTAGGTGATAGGCATTAAGGAGGGCACTTGATGTAAGTGAGCACCGGGTGTTATATGAAATGATGAATCACTAAATTCTATCCTTGAAACTAATAATACAGTATATGTTAACTAACTTGAATTTAAATAAAGAATTTAATAAAAGAAAAAAAAATAGCACCATAACTGCAAAACAGGAGGAAAGATCGTATTTTAAAAATAAATAGCAGCAAGTGTAGAAAGAAAAAGAAAGCATTCTGGTTTTTTTTTTAAACCAGAGTAATAATTCTGATACCAACATCTAATATAGATAGCAAACAAAAACCACAAATCAACTTAAGATTCTTGATTTCCAAACCCTAAACAGTTTTTAAGGAATGCAGGGAACACTCAGCCTCACTCTATTGGTGTAATCTATCACCATGCTAGATTAAAGAAATTCTGTGTAGCCTTTCAAATATAAGGGATTTGTATATGTGTGGATATGGAAACAAATCACCCATTTGTATTATTAATTTAAGAATGCAAGGCCTAGAATTAAATATAATATATTCCTGTTTGTATAAGAAAAATTTTTCTCTATGTGTAGAAACATAGGTGTTTGTGTCTATGAGCACACACATAGTTATGCTTTTTGTATAAAGAAAATTTCTGTAAGGATAAAAGCAACTTTTACAGTGGTTGACTCTAGAAGGATTAGGGTGAAGATACTCTTTTTAAAAATCGTTTTTTGCTCTTTCAAATTTTAAATTGTGTGCACTTAATTCTTCTAAAATAAATTAGTTTTAAAATGGCAGTTCTGTGTCAGAATAATCTCTCCAAGACTTTGGTAATTAATTCTCCTATCCTGTTATACTACTTTACTCCACTGATTATTAAAGGTGCATGCAGGCAAGTGTAGGTGGAGGGCACCACAGGGCCGAGAGCTCTAGAGGGATGCTATTAACTCTTAATGACAGAATGTGCTTAATGACAGTTTGTTCAGTCATTAGGAACAATTGATAAATAATTCTAGTAGGAGTACAGACTATGATAATTAGGACTGACTTATGTAATGTCTAATTTTACAGGTATAAAACTTTTAAAGCACTATTTTTTTTTTTAGTATAGTTGATGTACAATGTTACATTAGTTTCAGGTATACAACATAGTGATTCAACTTCTCTATACTTATGCTCACTGCAAGTGTAGCCACCATCTGTCACAATACAATACTATTACAGTATCATTGACTGTATTGCCTATGCTGTGCCTTTTATTCCTATGATTTACTCATTTTGTAACTGGAAGCCTGTATCTCCCACTCCCCTTCACTCATTTTGCCCAACACCCACTCTCCCCTCTGGCAATCATCAATTTGTTCTCTGTATTTGCAGGTCATATTCTGCTTTTTATTTGTCTATTCATTTGTTTTTAGATTCCACAAATGAGTATAATCATATGGTATTTGTCTTTCTCAGTATGACTTAATTTCATTTAGCATAATACCTTCTAGTTTCATCCTAGATTACAAATGGCACAATCTTGTTCCTTTTTATGGCTGCATAATATTCGTGTGTGTGTGTACCACATCTTTACCTGTTCATCTATTGATGGACACTTAGCTTGTTTCCCTATCGTAGCTAAGCATTTATTATATTTAACCCTTTACCTACTAGAAATCTAAGTGAGGATGTAAAGAATAAATGTTGCAATTATTTGTTTATAATTTTTAAATTTCTTTAATCAGTTTTACAATTCATGATACATCTAATTATAATTTAGTTAATAAACTGTAGGTTTTCTTTATGTGTATATCCTCTGAGGGCATTCAAACCAAGGGGATTATTTATCCTGATTTCTAAAATATAGCTGTCATATTTTCTCTGGGCCAAGTCACTCTATTTAAATGAGAAAGGAACTGAAGTTTCTTTACGCCCCTGCCAGATCACTTTATTATCGACAAGCATTCCTTGTTATTGTCTAGATTGTGTGTATGGTTTTATTGTCAAACTAGAAGTGAAAAATAGAGATGGAAAAAAGTAATACACCAGATCTCATGGGACTTGCTGTAAAATTTCACATATGTGCTAGTTAATTGAGTATTCTGTGTATTGTCGTCTGAAAGTCTAAATAAATCACCTATCAGAAGATTTTCATCAAAATATTAGAATTAAAGATTTCAATGCCTGAAAAATGGGAGTGAACTAACATGCTGGTTTGATTGTTGCAGGCAGGTCAGATTCTGAGACACATCATGAGCAGTTTCGAAGATGCTGATACGGAAGAGACCGTGACTTGTCTCCAGATAACTGTTTACCATCCTGGCCAGCTGCAAAGTGGAATATTCCAATCAATAAGGTTTTATAACCGAGAAAAACTTTGCTCCAGCGAAGTGGTGAAATTTGGCCGAAATTCCAACATCTGTCATTATACCTTTCAGGATAAACAGGTTTCCCGAGTTCAGTTTTCTCTGCAGCTGTTTAAAAAGTTTGATAGTTCAGTTCTCTTTTTTGAAATAAAAAATATGAGTAAGAAGACCAGTCTGCTTGTGGACAACAAGGAGCTGGGCTACCTAAATAAAATAGACCTGCCTTATAAGTGCATGGTCAGATTTGGTGAGTATCAGTTCCTGATAGAGAAGGAAGATGGAGAGTCCTTAGAATTTTTTGAGACTCAATTTATTTTTTCTCCAAGATCACTCTTACAAGAAAACAACTGGCCACTACAGAAGCCCATACCTGAGGATGGCAGTTACTCATCCTGTTCCACCCAAAACACTTCTCCTACAGAAATGGATGAAAATGAACTGTGAACACAGAGGGGCTAAGAGGAGAGTCATGAAGGATGAAGAAATCTGTAGACATTTTATGGATACTTCAGTTTATTGGTGTATTACTGTCATCTGTTGTCAAATTTGGGATCTCTTATTATCATTTTGAAGTCTTTAAATTGTATTAGTCATCAATTTAGTCATCTGTTGCATTCCTAGATGTATTTAGGAATTATTAAGTGTATTATTAAGAATTAAGTGTATTTAAGTGTACATCTGTGAGGGTTAATGTACAAGAAGTACCCGTGGTGATGAAGGAATAGTGTTCTCAATAAGGATATATTATTTTCTTCTTAGGCTTGCTTTTAGTCCTATGTTTTGTTTTGTAAGGAACCATCTCTTGGTTTGGTCATATTTCACAAGCAGCCATTTGTTTTCAAGGTCAAGGTTATGAGCAGCTTGTTACTGGTGGTGTAGCCTGTTGGTACTTGCAGTACTAGAGTACTAACATAATGTGTTTTGGAATAGTGCCAATGCATCATTGTGGTTTTTATATAGGAAGCCCTATTTGAGCAATAATACCTTTTCTATGATTTCCTTTCTGTAGAATAATAGTGTTTATTTCCAAAAATACAGTTCTCCTTGTGTATATTTAGCATTTAAAACCAGTATTTTGGACATTTTAATGAACCATTGCTATGTTTAGAATTCTTTTTCAGTTTTCTTGCCAAATATTAAATTAACTTTTATGTACCACACATTTTTAAACTCCATGAATTCGAAATTTTAACAGCTTCCATGCATATAATAAAGTCAAAGTTTAATTCTGTAACCATGTTCTTTGAGACTCTTTCTGAAGAAAGAACTTTCTGAGGAAAAGAAAGTTCTTAGACTGCTTACTCTCCCATGCTGATCAATAGACCGTTTACTCTAAAGGAGGAGTGCCATAGGCCTCAGGGAGAGGCTGGGCTGGAGATTAAGATTCCTCTAGCCCTGCCCCTCAATGCATATTGGCTCCAATTCTCCATGTTCCTCACTCTGCGTGGTGGCGCAGGGCCACCAGTAGTTCCTGTGATACCACATTCTTTGGTTTCCTGTGTCCCTCTTAAATCTGCTTCTTTTGGCAGTTTCTCTACCCCTGACCTCTAAATATCAACACTTAGTTGGGTTTCTCTGACTATATGCTTCCCCAGGGTGATCTTACCTAGTATAATGGCTTAAAATACCTTTTACCTACTAATGACTTTTTTTTTTTTTAAAGATTTTATTTATTTATTTGAGAGAGAGAGAATGAGAGACAGAGCACGAGAGGGAAGAGGGTCAGAGGGAGAAGCAGACTCCCTGCTGAGCAGGGAGCCCGATGTGGGACTCGATCCCAGGACTCCAGGATCATGACCTGAGCCGAAGGCAGTCGCTTAACCAACTGAGCCACCTAGGCGCCCCTTACTAATGACTTCTAAACTTGTACCTCGACCTCTTCTCTGAACTACAGATATATATATATGTACATATATATATATATATATCTTATCATCTTCTTGATGTCTTCACATAAATTTCTCATAAACACCTCAAATTTAACTTCCAAAACAGAACTCTTAATTTCCTTCACCTTCTTAAATCTGTTCCTCCCACTATATTTGTCAATTTAGAAACCAAAAAGTTATTGTCAAGTGTGGTTGTAACTGCTAGGTTGGCTGTCCATTTCCATAGATTTAACCAGTGGGGAAACAATGAGCTCAAATAGACTTAGTTTATTACTTACACAGACAGCAAAAGCAAGATCAGCATGGGGTCAGTGTTCCACATCCCTGGTCCCTAGGGATGTCCTTTGGACATTGGACCAGGGAGGCCAAATGACACATAGATGGAGGGCAGCTCTGTTGTTGAAGAGCCAACTCCAAACTCTAGCCAAGCAGTTTTATTAGCCTACATCTGTAGTGAATGGGAGTGAGGTGGAAATCCCTGCTTCATTAGAACCAGGGAGTTAGATGAGAAATTGCCTTATGGCAGCCTTCTGCAAGATAGGGGAGCAGATGATAAATGGCTTTGTCACATCTCCTTGAAGACTGCCTATCTTGCCATGTTCCAGGGAGGATCACAGAGCTTTGTCAAGATTTGGGTTGGAGTGTGGTTCAGTGTTGCTATATAGATGTGCAGTGAGCAAGGTTGCCAGGGCACCATGCTAGATGCATTATCCTACCATTGTCTTAGATTCTAGTTCTTCTTTTGCCTCCATATCTAACCCATCAGAAAATCTTGTTAATTCTACATCTGAAGTTTATCAGCTCTGCATTCCTATCATCATCATCAACCCAAGTCACACCATGTCCCATTGCAAGTATCACACATACACTCTTGTCCTCTTATAACCCATTCTCTACATAGCAACTAGAGAAATTTTTTAAAAAATGCAAATCTGATCACTGTCTACTCTGGCTCACAGAAAGTCAGTGGCTTTATACACCAAATAAAATTAACTCTTAACCATGGTCTACAAAACCTTACATGATCTGGCCCTTAAATACCCCTCCAGTATCATCTCATATTACTCTACCTCATGATGCTTCAGTCCCCGTGGTCTTTTCATTCTCAGAACATACCAAACGTTCTCCTATACCTCAGGAGCTTTATAAACATGCTTCACCAGGCTTTTTACTTGGCTGGTTCCTGCTCAACAGTTAGGTCACAGCTCAAATGTCATCTCAGAGAAGGCTCTCTTGACCTACCAAAGTAGTCACTTAGTCCCCAGCTATCCTGTATTCTATCATCTTGTGTATTTTCTAATTGTGATCTGTGGTTTTCTTATTTATGTGTTTACTTGTTATTATCTTGTCTCTCTCATCAGAATGTAGGCAAAAGAGCTTGAGCATTGTATGTCTTTTTACTATGTCCCTAACACCCTATCAGACACAGTAGATTCTCTAATATCTGCTGAATAAAAAAATGTTATTTCCAGTGTTTTTTATAAATATACAAAACAAGAAATTAATATCTTTTCTTAGCAGTTAAAACACAAACATTTTCAAATTTAGTTCTATCCTGCTTTCCTAATTCACTCCTTTTTGTCTTCAAGGCAGATTTAATAAAGTAATTATACCTCAGGAGTCAGAATTATTGCATGTTTATAGAGTAAAACTAGTAATGATCAAATAATTTATTACTTTTAAATGTAAAAATGTGTTTATTCATAATCCTTGAGGTTATCATTCCTTCAAAAAATTTTTTATGAACAAAATGCCAAGAAAAATTACAATAGTAGCTTATGCCAAACCAAAAATATACATCTGATGTATACAAACTTTAAAAGGCATAACACAGGCAATGTGAATATAGATTACCTTTAAAATATTTCCAGTGACAAAGCTACAACTTAAATTATGTTAAGACAGTCATAAATAACAGCATACCTAATATATTTACATATTTAAAGTATCATATTTATTTCTATGAGACAAAAAAAGATGAAACTATTGATGTCATTGCCTAGCAGTTCAAATATTGAAAGGGCCACATGATTTTGTTTTTTTTTAAGTACAGCAAGAACTTTAAGTTACTATTTATATCTGGACCTTCCTATATTTTTGAGAACATGCACTGTCACTGCTGCAAGAAAAAAAGAGAAAAAAAAAACCAAGGAAAAATCAGAAAACAGTTTGCTTACCAAAATCATATTCAATCCTCAGCAAAATTAAGCAATTAGGGAGTGCTTTATAACCTTGGCCTTTCAAAGTGAAACATAAACTTTAGGGAAAAGAAGAGTTCATTGTATATCACAAATGCAGTTATTTATACTGATATGCTTAGTTCCATTCCATTAAAGCACCTTGTATTACAAGGCAAAGGAAAGCTTAGTAAAATCAATGAATCCTTTCACACCAGAAAGGATTTTATTTTGAAATACCCGTATTGCATATTTAGGTTTTCCTTTCTTACTAAATCATGCACAGAGAGTATGTTCTGTGTAAAATCTTTCTAAGACCATTCATTGGAAATATAGAATTTAAAAAAATGACATCTAGAAATTTATCAATTAACTTAAAATCAATATTCATTTATAGTGGCTGCATGTAAAAGGAAGTGAAAAACCTAAATATATATATTTTCTTAAATATTACTTTTGATTACCAGCTTCAAGTGTCTGAACTCTGAAAGTCTATTTTAACATATCCTTTGTTCAGACTGAATCAACATTATTATACTAGGATATGCAGTAAGTGTAGAAAAAAACTGGTATTTCAGCATTTCTTTAGGGTCATCTACTCAATTGTGCTTACTATTAGATAATAAAATTTAAGTAAGTCATAGGAATAAATAATGTTGGAAAAGGTAGAAAAGGGAACACTATTATAAATCTGATCTGGCAGTCCCTCCTCACGCTCCCTTCACATCTGCTGAGAATTAACACAAAATGCCTTACTATTTTCACAGTTAACTACTGAAATAGGCTTAAGAAAGCATTCAAAGTAAACAAACTATTTTTAAAAGTGAAAATCTACAAATAGTAAACAGGAATGCTATAAAGAAGAGTTAAAATAAATTTAACTGATAACATGATAGAACCATTAAATTGTTTTTGAAAAGCAGAAGGCAGATGATGAAATTGCACTTAATTCTGAAGCAACTCAGATATAGCCTATCATTTCTATTCCTTTCTAATAAGCATTTACAACATGGTTTCTTATCTCCCTCTTAAAAAAAGGCTCAGCACAACTATTTATACATTCTAGTTGGTTTTTAACATTTGGTCACAACTGATAAAACAGGGTCATACAATTTTACCCTATCGTTTCTGTTGATCTGCATCAGATTGCTTTATGCCGGAATCAGACAGTTCTAATACAGGATTCACAAATCCAGAATACTCGGAATTGCCGTTATCATCCATTTCAGCACTAACAAAATCATTCTCCCACTCCAGCCCATTGGAATCATCAGAGGCTGATGTAGGATTACTTCCAGTCTTCTTGCTGCTATACTTAAGTGCTGCTCGGAGAATGTCTTCCTCTGTTTTGGAACGTTCTCTCATTGGAAGCATGCGATTCATTCCTATTATTTGGAAAGTTATTAGAAATCTCAGTGAAAATTTTAAAGGCTATATTAAAAGACTTTACAGTTTAAAAATGTAGCTTTTGTTTAACAATCAGACTTGATTTGTAAATTTACTTAAAGAGTCAATCCTATGGAGGCGCTGTTACGGGAAGGTTTCTGGTGGGCTCTGTCTTCTACCTAGTCTAGTTGTGTTAATGACTTAAATAATAATCTTAAAAGTCATGTTATCTACAAATCTGATTAGCGTACAGATAGTATGGATGACAGAATCAGGAGTTAAAAGATCGGAAAGGCTTTAGGCAAACTGAACAAGATGCTAACAATAAAAATAGATTTTATTACAGTCTGCTGATTGGGATCCAGATATGAAATAACATAAGTACAGGATTGTGGAAACAGTGTTTGGCTGAGAAGACGACTTAATTAAGTAAGTTAATGCAATCTTTGGTAAAGTTATTCAAGTCCCCTGTATCTTTGTTTTTTTATTGATAAAAGACT